TAGGGGCTGTTCTGATCCCCACCCCAGTCCGGAAGGGGGCGGTAATGCACCTAAAGCTGTTGTCAACCGCCATAAAACAAAAACAGCTGCAGAAGAAGAAGACGACGAAAAAGAAAACTAACGAATCCGGACAGGAAGGGTGTTGACCAGATCTAGGCCTGGTGTGAGCTAGAAGTTCTTTTATTGTAATTTCTCTGCGTATTTGTGGAAATGGAGAAGAAAGTGGTTTATCTTTGGTCCGTGATAGTGCTGCTGTCGGTGGTACTGAGCTCTGCTCTAACCCTGGATATACCAGTATACTTCAAGGTTGGCGGCAGCCTGGAACTGAGGCCTCAGCCGGAGCACACCGCCATAACCGGCATCGTGTGGAGACACAACGGTGATCTGGTGGCTGAGTGGGTGGATAAGGACTCTCCGTTGACGTACTGGGGGGTGTTTAAAGGCCGTACAACTCTGAACACAACCACTGGACGTTTGGAAATTCGAAAAATGAGTAAAGATGACGCAGGGTTGTTTACAGTGGAGATTAACAAGGTTCAGAACGAGAGTTATGCAGCCAGAGTGGTCAAGGAGGTGTCCAAGCCGACGGTGTTGGTAGCATGTAGCCCTGCCTTGGAGAGCTGTGTACTGTCCTGTGATGGAGACACCACAGAGACTGGACCCGTCGACTACTACTGGAAGTTTGGAGACAGAGGGTGGAAGCAGAGGTTCTGTGGACAGGTCTCTTTTATACAGGTAACGAGCTGAGAGGGCTCCCAATGTCAGCTCGTTACCTGTATAAAATACACCTGGGAGCCAGAGATCTCACGTTTTGCAAAGGGATCAAATACTTATTTCATTCATGAAAATGCAAATTAATGTATAACTTTTTTTGTAATGCGTTTTTCTGGATTTTTTTGTTATTGTTGTGTCTCTCACTGTTCACATAAACCTACCATTGAAATTGTAGACTGATCATTTCTTTGTTAGTGGACAAACTTACAAAATCAGCTGGGGTTCAAATCATTTTTTCCCTGACTGTAGATAGAACTTATGCAGGATTTCTTAAAATATATACAGATGCATCTAAGACAGTGAATAGTAAAGTTGATTCAGCGTTCATTATACCAGAATTAACTGTGAAATCAAATAAACGGATCAGTGATAATCTCTCAGTATACACAGGAGAATTACTGGCTATATTGCTAGCATTAGAATGGGTAGAAGAATATAAACCATTGAAAGTCCTCATTGGATCAGATTCCAGCAGTTCTTTAGTGAGTATTCAAAACATCCAGTCAGACTCAAGGCAAGACATAATACTGGAAATAGCTTGTATACTATTCAGATGTCAGAGGGCTGGAATAGATATTAGGCTAGTTTGGATACCAGCACATACTGGGGTGGAGGGAAATGAATTGGCAGAGAAATTTGCAAAAGCTGCACTAAAAAAAAGAAATGTTTGTGTGGAAGTAAGCTATAGTAAGGCTGAGGTAAAGAGTTTGATTAAAAAGAAACTGAAAGAGAAATTATAAGAACTCTGGGACAAAGAGGAAGGAAGAAGATATGATATCAAGATTGAGATTTGGGCATATTGGATTAAATAGTACATTGAAGTTAATCAAGAAACACACTACAGGGGAATGTGAGATGTGTAGAGTACAAGAAACAGTGGAACATGTTTTAATGAGCTGTCCCAGGTTCAGGTGGGAGAGGGAATTATTTAAAAATACTGTTTCAAGAGGTGGAATGAACTTTAGTTTACTGGAGGTGTTGGGACAAAGGTCAGGGGATATAGAATACAGAGCACTTATTAGGTTTTTAGAGAGAACAGGGTTACACAAGATAATATAAGGTGAACTGAGTGGGGTTAGTTTGGTGTGGTGGTAGGTAGGGGCCGTTCTGATCCACACTCCAGTCCGGAAGGTGGCGGTAATGCACCTAAAGCTGTTGTCAACCGCCATAAAAATACAGCTGAAGAAGAACAAGACGGCGAAAAAGAAACCTAACGAATCCAGGAAGGAAGGGTGTTGACCAGATCTAGGCCTGTTGTGAGCTAGACGTTCTTTTATTGTAATTTCTCAGCGTATTTGTGGAAATGGAGAAGAAACTGGTTTATCTTTGGTCCGTGATAGTGCTGCTGTCGGTGGTACTGAGCTCTGCTTTAACCCTGGATATACCCAAAATACGTCAAGGTTGGCGGCAGCCTGGAACTGAGGCCTCAGCCGGAGCAGACCGCCATAACCAGCATCGTGTGGAGACACAACGGTGATCTGGTGGCTGAGTGGGTGGATAAGGAGTCTCCGTTGACGTACTGGGGGTCGTTTAAAGGCCGCACAACTCTGAACACAACCACTGGACGTTTGGAAATCCGAAACATGGGTAAAAATGACACAGGGTTGTTTACAGTGGAGATTAACAACAAGGTCCAGAGTGATCGTTATCCAGCCAAAGTGGTCAAGGAGGTGTCCAAGCCGACGGTGTTGGTAAAACCCCTGGCATGTAGCCCTGCCTTGGAGAGCTGTGTACTGTCCTGTGATGGAGACACCACAGAGACTGGACCCGTCGACTACTACTGGAAGTTTGGAGACGGAGGGTGGAAGCAGAGGGAGAAGGACATTACCATCAATAAGACCGAGGAGATGCAAAGTGCTAAAACGGTCTCCTGTAGGATGAAGAACCTGGCTGGTGAGAAAGACAGTGACCCCGTGGAGAACCCTTTTTTCAAAGAGCCAAACGGGTCAGTAGGGTTGGGTGTGGGACTTTTCTTACTTAGCGTCGTAGTCTTAGCTGGGGGTGTAGTTGGTTATTGGAAGCGAGAATCCATCAAGGAGCTGGTCTGTCCACATAACAACGGTAACAACGGTGATGCATCTAACAGACAGTGTGATGGAACGTTACAGGAGTCTCAACAACTCAACGACGTGGAGAAGTCAGACAAAGATGGTAAAGTAACACAGTAGTGGAGCTGTTGGTGCATGGAAATGCATCAGATCAGGACTCCACTTCCATCGTGCTCAGATGGCTGTTGCTCCGTACACATTCAGAAAACCCAACCTTTCCAGTGTTGGCTTTCTAAGGACTGAAACACCACCGAGGGGCATAAATATCTCCGACTCAACACCAGTCAGTCAGAACTGATGAAGCCTCTTGGATGAGAGGTGAAACGTCTTCGACCTAGTCGAAGTCAACCAAGTCCAGTTGATTTCCAAGGTTATTTCGGAGGCGACCTTTCCATGTGTTCCTGTGTGTTGACTGTTACTTGCATAGAAAGAATATTCAACCTTCATAAACATGGGGTGAAGAGCAACTGCCCCATTTCAGTTCATAGTATTACAGTGGTGGAAGAAGTACTCTGATGTTTTACACAGGTATCATGATCACACCTGTAATCTGGTACAAGTCCTACATTTAAAGCTTTACTGATATTACAAAAGTATCTGTGTCAAGGTACATTTACAGTACCAAAGATCAACGGGTTCAGAATAATGTAAATAGATGGTGGGACTAGTTTTAACCGTGTGAATTCACCCC